TTTCATGTTTTTACAGGAGTGTCTTCTGCTCATTAAGGCTGCATTTATTTGATCAAAAATACAGGAAAAAATTTAATATTGTGAAATATTATTATGATGTAAAAATAGCTGTTTTCTATGTGAATATATATTAAAATGTAATGTATTTCTGTGATGTGCAGCTGTATTTTCAGCATCATTCCTCCAGTCTTCAGTGTCACATGATCTTCAGAAATCAGTATAATATGCTGATTTATTATCAGAGCTGGAAACTGTTGCGGCTTCATATTGTTTTGGAACCCGTGATACTTTTTTCAGGATTCTTTGATGAATAAAAAGTTCAAAAGAAGAGCATTTCTTTAAAATAGAAATCTTTTCTAACAATATACACTACCATTCAAAAGTTTGGGGTCAGTACATTTTTATTCTTTCTTGTTTTTGGAAATAAATTAAAACATTTATTCAGCGAGGATGTGTTAAATTGTTAAGAAGCGATAGCAAAGATGTATATTGTTAGAGAAGATTTATATTTTGAATAAATGCTGTTCTTTTAAACTTTTTATTCATCAGAGAATCCTGAAAAAAGTATCTCAATTGTGCAGCACAACTGTTGATAATTCTAATAATAAATCAGCATATTATACTGATTTCTGAAGATCATGTGACGCTGAAGACTGGAGTTTGCTCGTGTATCACTCACCGTTTATTCTCTGAAAACATGGTGAAAATGTCTGTCTGATCGTACGGTATTTTCTGATTTATGGAGAAATACAAAAAAAAAACCAGATATCCAAAATCCCCTCAGTAAAAACAAAAACCTGGCTTTATCTAATGTTCATATTTATGTTCTGGAAATGTATGCATATTATATAATACCTCATTTGCATGTTTAAACATAACACTTCAGAAAAACTGTAATACAAAAAATGTTTGCAATTCTTAATCTAAACTAAGTGTGGTGATCTATTACTAATTTTTACCTTATTCACCTGGGGTGTCTTGCATTAAATTAAACATTAATTATGCTCTGATTTTGTGCTTTTAGGATATAATAAACTGCTCTCGGTAATATTGACACGTCTACGGTCTAAACTTGGCCAGATATGAGCGTTATTATTAGGTTGAAGCGGAGCAGGAAGATTCTCTGTAATGCACCCAAAGCCTTCTGGGTCTTAAAATGATGGAGCCGAGGGCTGGATTCACATAAGCTGATTAACTCTGGGGTTATTAAGGAATAGCACACTCAAAATTGACATTTGTTCATTGTTTATTCGCCCTCATGACGTTCCAAACCTGTATTTCTGTGACTTTATTTCTTTAGTAGAACACAGTGGGTTTATTGTGTGCAAAAGTGATCTCATATTGTGTTTTGTTTGTTGTTGTTTTTTTTAATTGGGGAGATGCTGTTACAAATTATTTAAAGGAATTCAAGATTTAACGGGAATAACGAAAAAAGAAGATGGTAGTAAAATAACTAGAACCTGCTGTAACGTAATGACCCATTTCCAAATAATTTCCATATTTTTATTTTAAAATATGCACATTCAGTCTTAATCGTATGTCTGATATGACTAAACGGCTCTGTTAAAGTTTCTTGTCTCTCACATTCAGTTATGAAGTACATTACATGAATTTCATTGATTACACTACCGGTCAAACGTTTGGGATCAGAACGATTTTTCATGTTTTTACAGGAGTGTCTTCTGCTCATTAAGGCTGCATTTATTTGATCAAAAATACAGGAAAAAATTTAATATTGTGAAATATTATTATGATGTAAAAATAGCTGTTTTCTATGTGAATATATATTAAAATGTAATGTATTTCTGTGATGTGCAGCTGTATTTTCAGCATCATTCCTCCAGTCTTCAGTGTCACATGATCTTCAGAAATCAGTATAATATGCTGATTTATTATCAGAGCTGGAAACTGTTGCGGCTTCATATTGTTTTGGAACCCGTGATACTTTTTTCAGGATTCTTTGATGAATAAAAAGTTCAAAAGAAGAGCATTTCTTTAAAATAGAAATCTTTTCTAACAATATACACTACCATTCAAAAGTTTGGGGTTGGTACATTTTTATTCTTTCTTGTTTTTGAAAGAAATTAAAACATTTATTCAGCGGGGATGTGTTAAACTGATAAGAAGTGATAGCAAAGATTTATATTGTTAGAAAATATTTATATTTTGAATAAATGCTGGTCTTTTAAACTTTTTATTCATCAGAGAATCCTGAAAAAAGTATCTCAATTGTGCAGCACAACTGTTGATAATTCTAATAATAAATCAGCATATTATACTGATTTCTGAAGATCATGTGACGCTTTATACTGGAGTAATGATGATGGAAATTCAGCTGCGCATCACAGAAATACATTTACACTACCATTCAAAAGTTTGGGGTCAGTACATTTTTATTCTTTCTTGTTTTTGGAAATAAATTAAAACATTTATTCAGCGAGGATGTGTTAAATTGTTAAGAAGCGATAGCAAAGATGTATATTGTTAGAGAAGATTTATATTTTGAATAAATGCTGTTCTTTTAAACTTTTTATTCATCAGAGAATCCTGAAAAAAGTATCTCAATTGTGCAGCACAACTGTTGATAATTCTAATAATAAATCAGCATATTATACTGATTTCTGAAGATCATGTGACGCTGAAGACTGGAGTAATGATGCTGAAAATACAGCTGCGCATCACAGAAATAAATTATATTTTAAAGGATATTAAAATAGAAACCATTATTTTATATTGTAATAACATTTTGCAAATTTTTTTCTGTATTTTTGATCAAATAAATGCAGCCTTGATGAGCAGAAGACACGTCTTTAAAACACATTACAAGTCTTTTGACCGGTAGTGTATGTCGACAAGAAACTTGAATATTGTGCATGATCGCTGGATATACTTACATTTCTGTTATTAAACAGTTGTCACGTATTACATGTTTAGCTACTTACCTCAAGCTGGCCTTCTTTGATTTGATTTGATTTGATTTGATTTGATTTGATTTGATTTGATTTGATTTGATTTGATTTGATTTGATTTGATTTGATTTGATTTGATTTGATTTGATTTGATTTGATTTGATTTGATTTGATTTGATTTTACAAGTCTTTTGACCGGTAGTGTATGTCGACAAGAAACTTGAATATTGTGCATGATCGCTGGATATACTTACATTTCTGTTATTAAACAGTTATCACGTATTACATGTTTAGCTACTTACCTCAAGCTGGCCTTCTTTGATTTGATTTGATTTGATTTGATTGGCCATTTCAGTCATTTTGACGACAACTGCTAGATAATCATCGTATTTTTTGTTCTATTTTTAATTTTTTAATTTTATTATTATTATTTTGGTTCTGATTCCATGTTAAGAAAAAGAAAGTCAAACGAGTTTGGAAATGACACGAGTCCAATAATGACAATTGTATTTAGGTGAACCCTTTGCCCAGAGTGCAACACAATGGAAATAGATGTTAGAAAGTGTCTTTTAGGACTGTTTCAGTTCAAACAATCAATGCATCTGCTTTCTAAGGAAGCAAATTCGTGTTTTTTTTAGAATCCATGTGCATGGTAAACACAGCGAATATATATATATTATATGCATGAGATATGAATGCCTATGAAGGTTTTAGACGATACAGAACTGATAGTATTGCATGCATGAATATGGTACTGTTTTGAGGTGATGTGCAACAATTTACAGTGCTACACAGGGTCCGTCATCATTGTTGTGCACATGTTTATGAATGTTTTAGGATACGAGTCGTTGCATCTCGTGATTTTGTATTTTTATTGTGAAGCTTTATTCAAGCAGTGTACGTTTGTCATGTAGAATCTACTGTCTCACAAATGTGATAAAGGTGTGAAATGTTTAACTCCTGCACAAATCAGTCAGATTGCATATTAAGGAGCAATCAGATGTATTTCTTTTTGCTTGTTTTCACTGGTGCATGTTGTATGAAGTGTTGGGAGCGTCCTGTGAAAGCAGACCACCAGCAGTCTTTGTGTATATAAGCTGTATAGAACGCTTGCACAACTTTGTAAATGTGTTACTTGAGCTAGATTACTCATTGCATCAATAAAAAGAAACAACTATGAGGAATCTATTTAATATAGCATTTGTAATTCGAGCGGTAAGTAGCTGTTGCATTAAATTGCAACTAAATTTGATGTCAGTGTAAGATTTTGTTGTGAATACTTGACAGTTCTTATGTTTACTCTCATGCACAATAAGGATAAAAGTATCTGCTAAATGAATAAATCTAAATGCAAATGCATATCTCTGATGAGACGTTGCATGCCTAAAATGCATGCAAGCACTTCCATATTAATAAAAGCATTTGCTTTTCAAACTGCAGCTTTATTTGCATGCATGAACACACACACACACAAAAGCTCTCTGGTGCAAACACATATATAGGGCTTAAAAGGATCAAACATAAACAATGCATTAGGTAAATACTGTAATGTTGCATGCAATTGCAAAATGGTTTGCATTAATTTTATATCAGTGTAAGATTTCTTGCATTAAAACCGTGTGAATACTTGACAATGTGTACTCATCTCATGCAAGTCATTTTGAATTAAAAGTAAAGGAATAAATCTAAATGTAAAAGCATATTACGTATTTGCATATTACTTTTTAAGTGTTACATTTTAACACATTTTTTCTCGTTCTTGAAAACAGAACTCTTTCAACGAGCAAAAACAACAGAGGGTAAATATGATCAGATATCAACAGCAAAATATGGCATTTACTACATTTTATAAGCTTTAAATGATTTATAGTTCTACGTTAGATTTTCCTGAAAGTCTTGGGGTGAACTTAATACATTTAAAATGCACTTTTTTACTGTACGGACTTTAAAAAGTGCAATAGAATGTCACGTGTTTCTTAATTGTGTGTTTATGATTTTTTCGAGCAGAGCGAGCGCGTTAAATAAAGCGATGTCTCCGTTCATTGGCCACTGAGACGCCACTGAGCCCCTCCCTCTCTGGCGGATCCGGTCAGTGTTTACGGAAGTGACGTCTGACGTTTCGTGTTCCGCACAGGCGTCCAGGAACGAAGAAAAAAACCACGAAGCTCAGGCGAGAAGCGCGCTTATAGATCATAAAGGTCATAAAGGTCGGCGACCAGCGCGGTTGTGGTCATGTGTGCGACGCCGAGGAGCGCCCGCGGCTGAGGACCGGCGCTTTAACTGACGCGAGTGCCGCGGCGAGGTTTGTTTATGTGTCGCGAGACGCCCCGGTCGGGTTAAGTGAGTTATTAATCGTTCGTTAGAGTTTAATTGCTGTCGAATGAGTGTGAAGATGTCGACCAGCAGCCCCGAGGCGGTGAAGAAACTCCTGGAGAACATGCAGGCGGACCTGCGCTCTCTGTCCATGGAGTGCAAGAAGAAATTTCCTCCAGTCAAAGAGGTGCAGACACTGAGACATCAAATATACATACTGTACCTACATACCTGTGTGTGTGTGTGTGTGTGTGTGTGTGTGTGTGTGTGTGTGTGTGTGTGTGTGTGTGTGTGTGTGTGTGTGTGTG